CAATTTTGTAAATTATGAATTCTCAAGAGATTAGACAAATTGAGTCACCAAAACCTGGTGTTTCTCATGACTGTGAAATCCTCACTGAGGATTCTTTACAAAATATTGTGGATTTATCCGTTCAAAAGTCAGTATCCTCTGCAATTTATACTGCAATGTCTCCTATGCAAAAAGCAATTGCAAAGTCTGTGGCTCAAGCCATAAGAAACTCAAAACCCAGTGACAAGACTCATTTAATTAGTACTTCTTCAGACTAGTTCTGGTCATCTATGGAGTCTGAACGAAACATAGCTCAAGGTTTTAGGAGGTCTGGGAAGGCCACCCAGAAACGCAAATGTTGCTTTGATGGTCCTGCAGAATCCCCTGGCGGCTCTAAGCCACTTAAGATAGGAAGGACCAAAACAAGAACACAATGCGTGTCTCACGCAAAACTGAAGAGTGTAATCAATCACTCAAAAGACCCTCTGCTTGTGAGGAAGACAAACAAGCTCGGAAGGCCATTCACAGGAGCAAACCTGACTCCTATAAAAAGGTTTTAGGAGGTCTGGGAAGGCCACCCAGAAACGCAAACGTTGCTTTGACGGTCCTGCAGAATCCCTTGGCGGCTCTAAGCCACTTACGATAGGGAAGGACCAAAACAAGAACACAATGCGTGTCTCACGCAAAACTGAAGAGTGTAATCAATCACTCAAAAGACCCTCTGCTTGTGAGGAAGACAAACGAGCTCGGAAGGCCATTCACAGGAGCAAACCTGACTCCTATAAAACCTCCTCAGATAGTGACTCATCTTCAGTCTCAGGGGATGAAAAATCTGATTCTGATTCTGCCTCACATTATTCATATATCTCAGAGACACCTGAGCTTATCCCTAAATCTGATGAAGAGAATATTATTTTGGATTTTAATGGTAAACCATTATTTGACCCAGACCACATTAAACACCCCAGGTCAGCTGAATGGGTCCCTATCGCTCATGTAGCCAAATATCTTGAATACTGGTTGAGGAAACCCCTTGACCAAGCGGCTAGAAATAAACTAAGATCTGAATGCCTTAGACCGACCTTGTCAAAGAAAGTCGCACAGACCCCTGATCTAGATCCCACTATTGTGCCTGTAGCAAGTGTGTTAAAAAATGATAAGCTTAGAGTCATGTCTACAAATGCTCGCAGTTTAGGGAATAAGATCCATGAACTTGTGGCAATAATGGCAACTGATAGTGTAGATTTAGTCGCTGTTACTGAGACATGGTACAATGAGAAAAATGACTGGGACATAGCAATACCAGGGTACTCTTTATATAGGAAAGATAGGGAAGGCAAGAAAGGGGGAGGGGTGGACTTGTATGTGAAGGATAGCATAAAATATAGCCTAATAAAAGTTAGTGAGGCAAACATAGAGTCCGTTTGGGCTACGTTAGAATTTGGTAATCACACAGTAACTCGTGTAGGTGTGATTTATAGGCCCCCAGGACAAATTGAAGAGTTAGATAATCTACTAGTTGAGGAAATAGCTAAAATGACAATGAAGGGGGAAGTTATCATCATGGGTGACTTTAATCTTCCTGATGTAAATTGGAAAACAAAATTAGCTACTTGTGCCAGGAGCACACATATTCTAAACTCCCTACTGGGATTGTCTCTAAAACAAGTTGTTGAGGAGCCAACTCGTAAAGAGGCCATACTAGATTTAGTGTTAACAAATGGAGATTTGGTATCAGATGTTACTGTAGGTGAAAGTTTAGGATCCAGTGATCATCAGTCAGTATGGTTTAATATAAGAACAGTGACTGAGTCACACCACACAAAAACAAAAGTTTTAGACTTTAGAAAAACAGACTTTTCTAAAATTAGAATGTGGGTAGAGGAGTCATTATCAGACTGGAGCAATTTAAATGGAGTCCAAGAAAATGGGATTATTTAAAAGTTGCACTATTGAAGGCAACAGAAAATTGCATTAGGCTTGTCAGTAAAAGCAAAAAATTCAAGAAACCACTGTGGTACTCCGCAGATGTGGCCAAAATAGTTAAAAACAAAAAGTTAGCATTTAGGAATTATAAAAAAACCCAGAGTGAGGAAGACAAAATGATCTATAAGATTAGGCAGAAAGAGGCTAAGCAAGTTATAAGAGCTTCCAAATCACACACAGAAGAGAAAATAGCACAGTCAGTAAAAAAAGGGGATAAAACATTTTTTAGATACATAAATGAGAAAAGAAAAGTAAAACAAGGATTAGTTAGATTAAAAACAAAAGAAGGAAGGTATGTAGAAGAGGATAAAGGTCTAGCTGACTGCCTCAATGAATATTTTTGTTCTGTATTTACAGATGAAAATGAAGGAAAGGACCTCAGTTGAGAAAAAGGATAAATGAGTCATTTATTACACGTGAGTTTACAGAGGAAGAGGTTCTATTTCAACTGTCAAAAGTAAGACAAATAAGTCAATGGGACCTGATGGAATACACCCAAAGCTATTAAAAGAGCTTAGTGGTGTACTAGCAAAACCATTAACAGATTTATTTAATCAATCATTGTTAACAGGAGTAGTCCCAGAAGATTGGAAGTTAGCGAATGTTGTGCCCATTTACAAGAAAGGTAATAGGGAGGAGTCGGGCAACTATAGGCCAGTAAGCCTTACTTCAGTAGTGGGGAAAGTGATGGAAACCATGTTAAAGGATAGGATTGATGAACATCTAAAAACACATGGATTTCAAGATCAGAGACAACATGGGTTTACTTCAGGGAGATCATGCCAAACTAATCTTATTGATTTTTTTGATTGGGTAACTAAAATTATAGATCAGGGTGGTGCAGTAGACATTGCTTACCTAGATTTCAGTAAGGCTTTTGACACTGTTGCACATAGAAGGCTTATCAATAAACTGCAATCTTTAAGTTTGGATTCCAATATTGTTGAATGGGTAAGGCAGTGGCTGAGTGACAGGCAACAGAGGGTTGTAGTTAATGGAATATATTCGAAGCTTGGACTTGTCACCAGTGGGGTACCTCAGGGATCTGTACTTGGACCCATTCTCTTTAATATTTTTATTAGTGATATTGCAGAAGGTCTTGATGGTAAGGTATGTCTTTTTGCTGATGATACTAAGATATGTAACAGGGTTGATGTTCCAGGAGGGATAAGCCAAATGACAAATGATTTAGGTAAACTAGAAAAATGGTCAGAATTGTGGCAACTGACATTTAATGTGGATAAGTGCAAGATAATGCATCTTGGACGTAAAAACCCAAGGGCAGAGTACAGAATATTTGATAGAGTCCTAACCTCAACATATGAGGAAAGGGATTTAGGGGTGATTATTTCTGATGACTTAAAGGTAGGCAGACAATGTAATAGAGCAGCAGGAAATGCTAGCAGAATGCTTGGTTGTATAGGGAGAGGTATTAGCAGTAGAAAGAGGGAAGTGCTCATGCCATTGTACAGAACACTGGTGAGACCTCACTTGGAGTATTGTACACAGTACTGGAGACCGTATCTTCAGAAGGATATTGATACCTTAGAGAGGGTTCAGAGAAGGGCTACTAAACTGGTTCATGGATTGCGGGATAAAACTTACCAGGAAAGGTTAAAGGATCTTAACATGCATAGCTTGGAGGAAAGACGAGTCAGCCTCTTTTGACTCAGGGAAAGCTTATCGCACCATTAATGTCTATAGATCTGCTATCTCAGCAAATCACGACCCTATTGAATTTTTCCCTGTGGGTAAACATCCTCTAGTCTGCAGACTTATGAAGGGTATCAGATTTAAACGTCGTCCATGCCCTAAATATAATTCCACCTGGGATGTTACTCTGGTACTCCAGTTGTTAGAATCATGGGGTGCCAATGACTCATTATCCTTAAAATTGCTTTCGTTTTAAGCTTACCACATTACTATGTCTCATCTCTTTCAAAAGAGTTTCTGACGTTAAGGCTTTAGACTTAAATAATAGACAATATACTCCTGATGGTGTTAATTTTTCTATTGTTAGATGTACCAAAACTAATCTCTGCACTGTATTCTATCCTTCATTTTCTCACCATCCTCTTCTATGTGTTGTTAGTTGTCTTCAAACATATGAGCTTAAAACCTATTTGATTCGAAATTCTAATTTCTCGCAATTGCCAATCTCTTTTCGTAAACCTTTTCTGCCTGTCTCCTCTACATCTTTAGCTAGATGGGTACGACAAACTATGTCTAAGGCAGGTATTAATATTTCAATGTTTGGAGCTCACTCATCAAGAGGAGCTATGACTACTAAAGTGTTTCAAGCAGGAGGCTTTTTATCAGATCTGTTAAAAACTGCAAATTGGTCTTCAGAATCTACATTTAAACAGTTTTATTTTAGACCTAGCCTGCATGTTTCAAAAATAATATTGTAATAACTTCTGATGTATTTTATATTATGACTATTTAGCTTTGAACATGCATAATACGAGCCTCCTGTCTTGTTATAAAATTCAAGATTTTCCTAGTCTTGACGTCAGAAAATATAGATTTTATTAAAGACAGGAGGTGAGTATTATCCCTCCCATTAACCCACCCTGTTATTTATATTTCAGCTTAATCCTGTTTGGAGTTTCATCATTCTATCCTTGGAGTTACTCTACTAGGCACTTCTTCTAGATTCGCAGCTCGAAAGAGGGGGAATATTGGGGATCATTCACAATATGGACTATGCTGGATGCTGATTGGCTACCAACGTTCCATTTCAGTTACTCTGTTGTTTTTATCATTTTTATTCACTAAACTTTATTGAAAAAATGTCTTTGCTGCTGGAGTTAAGTAAGCCTCCTGTCAAGACTAGGAAAATCTTGAATTGTAACACTAATCTAGAGAATATAATATTTCTAGAAGACCTCAAATCATATTCACAATGTGTTTTACACTATTTATTAAACAAGGAATCTATTTACAGACTGATTTGTGACTTTCTGTGTAGTATTGGTCTACAGCTTATTATTAATTTATAACAAATCTTTTGTAAATGTTTTAGCCAGACGGTGGTATAACTAAGGTATTTAGCAGCCAGGAATGAGTCTGTTCTTGAAATCCCCATCTCCTGAAATTGAATACACTCTAAGTGTCATATCCACTTCCGGTATTTGTAGTAGGTTGGTGCTAGGAGACTTTGAAGTTTACAAGCAGTTTGAAAAAAAATAAGTGTTTTCTTGCAACCAAAGACCTTCTCTCATCTTCCACCTCTTAATGTATCTCCTCATTTCATTGCTTGTGTCTACCTTCCAACCTCTCCCCTACTTCACTCTCTCCTCCCCATATTTTACGTGTTGTGTTTCTCTATCTCATTACTCTTCTTCTTGATGTCCTTTCCAAGCTTACTCGATTGAGCCTCTTCTCTCCAAAGTCCTTCTTTTGTCATTCTCCCTATCTCTATCCCACTGTCTCCTCCACCATAATGTCTTCCTTCTCTGTCTCCCCATACTTTTGTTTCTGACCCCATTTGTTTTACCTTCTTTGTCCACTTGTGCTCCCCTTTGTCATAATTATTAACTTATAACCTCACTTTCCACGTGTGTCTCTGTTCCTTATCTCCCTTCCTCATCTTTTCCATAATGTAGCCACATTTATTTACCACATTTGGTCCATTATTCTCGCCAGCGATTCCTAGAGATGAGACTTTCTGTTCTTCGCTTGGATAGATTTGAATAATTTTTATATTCCTCCATCTTTACTAAGGGGGGGGGGGAGGCTAACAAAATCAAATTTGTTTCCTGTAAATACCTAATTCTAGTATTCCAATAATTAAAGTTCCCATAACTTGAAGAAGATAGTTTAGATCACAGTTTACTGCTTTCAAAGAAAACTGGAAATACTAGCATTTTTAATGATCTCCCAATTACTTCTCTAGTGGGAACTTCAAAAACAAAACATAATGTGGTGGAGCTATAAAAGAAATGTTACAGATATAATAATAACAGATTAATAATAACTAGATTAGATATCTAATAATAGATGTGTGAAGTTGAATAAATGTAAATAATGGTTTTGTATCACACAGTTTTGTTACAATGCTGCTGCCCAACACACTTAAACACACTTAACATTTGCTCATCAATTAGATGTATACCTCCTGAATTTGTCTCAGGTTTCCAAGCAGGTCCAGAGGTGGTAGAGCTAGATGGGAAGGCGTATCTATAGGAACAATAAGTGACCTCACCTTGTGTTCCATACCAACATCAATCCAAATAGAATCTTTTGATTTTATTACCTCTTATGTGATTGCCACAGAATTAAAAATTGCATCTATGAATTTTTTGTATTTTTTTCATTCCATACATATGTCACGGTCTTACTTATGACCAAATACAATGGACTTCACAATTCCCCCCAAATGGTTTAAGCTGCCTAGCCATATTTATACTCTTTTTGACGGGTGTGCTTCCCCCATTCTAAATATGCACAAAAGGAGGCATGATTATTCTTCTGTGGGTTATAAATAATGTAACTATGACACCAAAACACAATGGTTCTATTGAATGCAAATGGTGATTAGCATATCAAAAGAACCAACTATCAAAGTGGAGATACAGACAATAAAATATACTATGCATAGGAAGCCCTGAAACAACTAATTCACAGATGACAGAAGAGCACCACAAGCATATATATAGGCCTCGACATCTATATGGACCCAGAGACCTTCCAAACCTACAGGCCTCAGAATGAAGGTTTCTATTGACCCTTGAATATAACAGAAGAATATCTATAAGCTTCGCACACAGCTGTAGTATCATCATATACATATACAGAGTGTTAACTCTGACACTGCATGTTACAGAAAAGTTTATACTATGTCAGACCTTCCATGTTTTGCGCAAGACTGCTACCTACTGATTCACCTCCACCGTCTTTTGCGTCTAGTCTTGCAGCATGTTCCACCAAGGTTCTGGCTTTTTGGCAAAAGAAATGTAGCCTTTCAGCTTTATCCTATTGAATCTTGGTTCTGCTGTGCAAAATATTCATGTTTTGGATTTTAAAAAAACTGTGTTTGCCATGCATATCTTGCAAATTCTGGTATTCGGGCTCTTTTTCATGCACCTTTACCTTTGATTATTGATGTTATAAGTTAATAAAACTAGCAAAATCTGTCAGCACCAAAGTAGCTGTTTAGCCAATAAGGGAGTGCGTTGGATTTTCATTTTTACTGTACTTATTGGCCCCCAGCAGCACCCTATTTAAGCATGTTCAGGTGAGTGCAGCCAGACCCTTATTTTCCCATATAGATATTTAGGAGTCTAGCCAGCTCTCTGGCTTTGCACCTCTCCCTGTCACAGGTGATCATCTCAGGACCCTATTTAGCCTTGTACTGCAGAGAACTCGAAATGGAAGGATTTCCCCAAGTGAGTAGCTCATTTAGTAGACAGTTGGTTGGTAGTGTAGGACCTGTCAAAGAAGGGGTACATTGACATTGTGGCAGGCTTATGCAATGTATGATCATATAATGTAACTAAACCCCCATTATTTTTTGCCTAGATTAGGTATTTTTAATAAAATTAGCAAAATCTGTCAGCACCAAAGTAGCTGTTTAGCAGATAAGGGAGTGTGCTTGATTTTCATTTTTACTGTACTTATTGGCCCCCAGCAGCACCCCATTTAAGCATGTTCAGGTGAGTGCAGCCAGCCCCTTGTTTTCCCATATAGATATTTAGGAGTATAACCAGGGAGTGTGCTGGATTTTAATTTTTACCATAAGATAATCACTAAGCATGAGTCTTTGTTGCTGGTATTAGTCTAAGGTTATTTAATGTTCTATACATTATATATTTGTCTTTGTCTCTCTTCTAAATGTTCATGTATCATTGCCGGTGTTTTCAAATACTTTAGAAATGAGGTGCAGGTCGCTGTGGATTGATGTATATAGTGGGGCATGATGTATGTTAACAGTGGCAATTCTTGAGAATAAGAGATGTGTCTGAGAATAAGAGATGTGTATGAAAATAGCATTGCATGCGTTAAAGGACTGGGTGTCTTGGATTATGGTACAGTACACGCTATGTTTCATAAAGGGTAAAGCTTGATGGAGGGAGGATAGAAGGGATATTTAAAGAACTAAAAGTCTTACCAACCAAGAACCAACCAACATTTTGCTTTATTCCATAACACTTGTAAGATAAATCTCTTTGCCACTACCTTGCATATCATCCTCACCCATCTACATATGTAGGTCACTTGCTGGCCTTTCCTGTTTAATCCTGGGATATTGAGATCACCATTCATATATTTTTTAAATAACCCTGAGGTGTCCAAAAGACCCTATTGTAAAAGATCCATGATACTTTAACCCATGATTATTTTGCTACTAATGCAACATTTGAAGTAGTCTTTATTTTAGTTAGCTTCAAAATTTATTTAATGTCTTGTTTAATTTATAATCTTTATTGTACAAAACTTAAATTTTATTGAATTCATTAATTGTTATATACTCTTTTATAGATATTCATTATACATACATAGTTTCCTATCTGATACTCTATATTCATTGTTTTAACAAAAGCAAATACAACAATGTGATTCTGAAGATTACAGTTCCCTGATATAATGGTATAATTAATCAAACAATATCAAAACACTGTTGTCATTTCTGTTGGACTTTTTTTTGCATATTATATCTCACACCCGAGAAGCTTTTGAAAGCAAATTGCAGAGTTCATTTTTTAATGATAAATGTAATGTTAAAGCCATGCAAATTTAGAACCAAGAAATTGAATGCTACTTTAAAACAAAATAGGGTTAATTTAGGTCAGTGAAGTCCTGTGTCAGCATGAAAAATTAAATTTTACTCATGATTCTAAAAAAAATGATATTTCAATGTTCATTATCGCTTGATTTTGACAATCAGTTTCTTAGTGGTCAAGCAGGAATGTTCTTTGATGAAAATGTTTTTAATTCTTAAAAAACATTCTGATCACATGCCCACAAAAGAGTTTCTATGTGAAAATAAATATTTTCACTACAATCAATACCACAAAGACTGCATTTGAATTCTAATAAATATTTAGTTACTTATCATCATTTAGTTAATTTCCATCATATGGTATTTTACTGCTTTCATTAAATGAACACTTCGAGCACCATATCCATTACAGTGCACTTTAGTGGTTACAGTGCCAGTTGTCTTCTGGCACCCAACCCAATGCTACAATGTTAAACTTTTTGACTTCTTAACTTCTTAGTTTGTTGGTCACCACTCCGTGCCACTTCTGGAGCCAGAAGCTCTCTGTCTGAGCTAATCTCATTCAGTTACTGCAGGGCTTAGCTCAGAAGAGATAATGGAATCTCCTCATAGGACCTTCCAACTCTCAGTAGTGGAAGGAGAAAGGCAGGTGCAGGCACCCGGTAGACTCCAGGTAAGAAATGAAACCATTGCCACGGTTTGACTATATACATTGGCAGTAGCAAAGGCATTCCTTACACTGAGGGAATGTTACAAGACTTGGAGTGTTACTTTAACTACTAGTCCAACATTTTGGCTGCAGTAATCTACATTTGAGCTATATTAACAATAGATATGTACACAGATCAGTTATTTTTTTAGATTTTGTTTATTTGGTCAAACCAAATTTACTTTTTCATCCGACTGAAGCACAGTCACATGCCTATATGGGTTGATTGAAATTTAGTGAACATTTTATTTGGCACCAATTTTGGCTGATCATTACTCTATATTGGTGTAAAACTCACCTAGGAGGTTTCTCCTTTATGCAGCAGGTAAGCCTGCACTTAAAAAGCCATTGGAGTGATACTAAAAAACTCTCTAGTTATTTAAAATGTGCATAGGGATTTGGGATAGTGCGCAAGTAATTTGTTTCTTTGTTTTTTTTGTTTTTTTAAATTAATTGGGGCTGATGTGTATTATTGTTATTGCTGCCAACCAGAATTAGTAGGAGTTTGAGTTTCATTTTATTCGTTTGCATTACTCTATATGGCAAGCAAGTAGTTATATAAAACCTCACCAGTGCAGGGTTAACAATATTAAAAGCTATCAGCTGGACTGTATTGATGCCCAGTCACTGGAAAGACCCCATCCTGTAAAATGTGTGCTGCCCCACCCACTGCCCCTTATCAATATTAAAGTCCCCTCCTGCTGCACATGCTCATCATGCCATGAGTTGGGGATATCTGCCAAACAGTGAGCAGCCAGTGGCTGTCCCCTGCAATGGCGGAATGACATCAGTGCTGGATGAAATTCTTTTGGTGAGTCATTCAGGCATGTGGAAATTCTTTCATTGATCCATTTAATTCACCAATTAATAAATATAGTGTATTCTAGCGTATTTAATAGCTCATTCTTTTATTCTAAAAACAAGATTAGATTATAGATTGTAGGCTTGTCCGATGGATTGTAAACTCATATGAGTGGGCTTTGCATAGGAAATACTTGTCAAATATCACATTCTATTAGTGTAACATGTTGTAGAATATGTTGACACTATATATATATATATATATATATATATATATATATGTTAATTATAATAATAATAATAATAATAATAATAATAATAGCAATAAGGCTGGTCAGAAAGCTCAGTGGGCTAATGCATAGAATTTGTTCAACCTTTGGGTTGCAGGTTCAAATCCCAGCAGGGTTTACTCAGCCCTTCATCCTACTGAGGTAGATAAAATGAGTACTATTAAATTGGGTAATAGGCTAAGGTGACATACTAGGTTGTACTTGGAAACCAGAGTAATCTGAATGTATATTTCATGGTTAAATACTTTGTTATTATTATTAATTAAGAGAAAGCAACCCCTGTTTCCATATCTTTTAGAGAAACTGCAAAGTTTATGTTGTTATGTTCGAGGCTAATGTCAGAGGAGATAGAAATCAAGTCAGGGACTTCAGCAATGGAATCATGTACAGGTGATACTCGAAAAATTAGAATATCATGAAAAAGTTCATTTATTTCAGTAATGCAACGTAAAAGGGGAAACTAATATATGAGATAGACGCATTACATGCAAAGCAAGATAGTTCAAGCCATGATTTGTCATAAGTGCGATGATTATGGCTTACAGCTAATGAAAACCCCAAATCCACAATCTCAGTAAATAAGAATATTACATGCAATCAATAAAACAAGGAGTGTACATAGAACAATATCAGACCTCTGAAAAGTATAAGCATGCATATGGACTCAGTACTTGGTTTGGGCCCCTTTTGCAGCAATTACTGCTCAATGCGGCGTGGCATGGAAGCTATCAGCCTGTGGCACTACTGAGGTGTTATGGAGGACCAGGATGCTTCAATAGCGGCCTTCAGCTCTTCTGCATTGTTCAGTTTCATGTCTCATCTTTCTCTTGGCAATGTCCCATAGGTTCTCTATGGGGTTCAGCTCAGGCAAGTTTGCTGGCCAATCAAGCACAGTAATCCCACAGTCTTTGAACCAGGCTTTGGTGCTTTTGGCAGTGTGGGCTGCTGGAAAATGCTGAAAAATGAAGTCAGCATCCCCACAAAGCTAGTCTGCAGAAGGAAGTATGAAGTGCTCCAAAATCTCCTGGTAGACGGCTGCATTGACCCTGGACTTAATGAAACACAGTGGACCAACATCAGCAGATGACATGGCTCCCCAAATCAACACAGACTGTGGAAACATCACACTGGACTTCAAGCATCTTGCAGTGTGTGCCTCTCCATTCCTCCTCCAGACTCTGGGTCCTTGGTTTCCAAATTAGATCTCATCAGAAAAGAGGACTTTGGACCACTAAGCAACAGACCAGGTCTGTTTTTCTTTAGCCCAGGTAAGACGCTTCTGACGTTGTTTGTTGTTCAGGAGCAGCTTGACAAGAGGAATATGACATCTGAAACCCATGTCCATTATCCGTCTGTGTGTGATGGCTCTTGATGCACTGACTCCAGCCTCAGTCCATTCCTTGTGAAAGTCCCCAACACTTTTGAATGGCCTTTTCCTGACAATCCTCTCCAGGCTGCGGTCATCCCTGCTGCTTGTGCACTTTTTTCTTCCACACTTTTCCCTTCCACATAACTTTCTATTAATGTGCTTTGATACAGCACTTTGGGACATCCAACATCCTTACCAATTACCTTTTGAGGCTTTCCCTCCTTATGGAGGGTGTCAATTATGGTTTTCTGCATAACTGTCAGGTCAGCAGTCTTCCCCATGATTGTGATTCCTACTGAACCAGACTGAGAGACCATTTAAAGGCTCAGAAACCCTTTGCAGGTGTTATGGCTTACTTAGCTGATTAGATTGGGACACTGTGAGCCTAGAATATTGCACCTTTTCACAATATTCTAATTTACTGAGATTATGGATTTGGGGTTTTCATGAGCTGTAAGCCATAATCATCGCACTTATGACAAATCATGGCTTGAACTATCTTGCTTTGCATGTAATGAGTCTATCTCATATATTAGTTTACATTGCATTACTGAAATAAATGAACTTTTTCACGATATTCTAATTTTTCGAATATCACCTGTAAGTGTTTAAAGGGTTTTTAGTAATTTAATTGCCATGAGGAGGGGACATGGGGGCACAATAGAAGCGGGAACAGAGGGACAGTGGTAGGAATTACATCTATTGTTGCCCCCTCTCTCCACCTTGTGGCAATTAAAAACCCTTTAAATACTTATATGATTACAGAGCCGAAGTCACCGACTTGGTTTCAATCTCCTCTGACATTAACCCTTGCATTAACTCAGAAATACACTTGCACCACCCACATGCATCTGCATTCATACACACAGAATAAAAATGCTTTTGTGTTTTTGTTTTTAGCACATCTTTGAAATGCTGTTTTAAGTGTGCTAGAAACAAAAACGCAAAAGCGTTTCTATTCAGTGTGTATGAATGAAGATGTATGTGGGTGGTGCAAGTGTTTTTCTGAGTTAATGCAAGGGTGCAGAGTTAAACAAATGGTATTTGGATGTAAGGCAGCGTTTGGAAGGCTACAGTCAGTTGAAGAGGGAGATCAGAAGCACTAGCAGTGGGCTGTGAACTGTGGGGTCAAAGTGCCATCTTAAATTGTGCTAAAAGAATGCAGGATTGGGAGAATAAAATAAACACTGTTAGCAAGGCTTCTTACCAGCTACTTGCCAGCAGTTTTTTTTAGCCTGTCTCTCCCTTATGACTCCTCTCACTGCCATATTGCATCTGTTTTGATGGGGGGCTCTTTCATATCCTCCACACACACACCTCTACTCTCCACATCCCATCTCCTACTCTCTTGCATGGCTGAGTAGCATGCTGGGCTGCCAAAGTTGTACCTTTGTCTGAGTTATTCCAGCACATGGCTGAGATACTGTGTGGAGGGAGGTAGGGGTGAGGACATACATGAAATAGATGTTGCAAGTTGCAACTGAGCCTGGTGATTGAGTGAGCAGTAAAGGTGCCCGGGGCTGAGTAGGGAAATGTTTTTTTAAATCTCTGCTGACTCACTCAGGGCACCTAAACAGATCCAGGCACTGACATTTGGCGCCCCAGGCCCCTGTTTGAGCCCAGACCCTAGGCAGACAACTAAGCTGACTTGTGGGTAACCAGGCTGTGACTACAACTCCCATAATGCTCTTATAGCTGCTAGCACAGCATCAGGGGAGATATAGTGCACAGACTCTGGAGTTCTGACAGTTGCCTAACCCTGTTCTAATGTATGAAGTCTGACTGAGCGTGTATGTGCTTTTGTAAGTAATTATATAAATGCAGTACTCCAATACACTTTATTATTTTAAGGGGTTTCAAAGATTCCTGAGCAACTAACACACATACTCCATTACAAAGTTATTTGTACATGTCTTTGGTATCAAGTAGAAGCAAAGCTGTCTCCCCATTACAAATCTATACTGAGAAAGCAGTCTGTTACCCAGCAGGGTGCATATCCATGGTCATTTGTTACTTTGTGTGAGTTCAGAGAAGACATACTTTTCTAAAGGTGAGTGCAAGAACATACTATTAGAATGTTTGAAAGATTATATAAAAGCTAGGTGAATAGCTTTAATGTCAGTATGTCCATCAATGCTTGAGTTTGTACAAATATAGCATTGTTCAATTATTCATCATACATTCTGTCTAACAGACTAGCAAGAGCTATTTTGCACTTTAAAATATGCTATATTCTTAGTATCAGAATACAGTTTATAGTTATGTGAGTCTCACAGCAATATAAATCATTGGCCCTGCTTTTTTCCTATATTAGAGGAAATTTCAATCCAGCACATTTTGGTGCCCGAGGTCCGTAAAAGCACACCCTATGTCTATGATTTTACTCAAAGTTTGCTTAGTTCATCCCCATTAAAAGAAGCTGAAACATCAGGCATTGCAAGTGGGGTGACTTCTCTTATATTTTTGTGCACATTGGAAGTCTCTGTAAATGCTATTTTATAAAAATGAACACTATAGGGTCAGAAACGCAAAATGTATTCCTGAACCTATAGAGTTAAAGCCACCATCTAGCCCCCCTGGTTTTTTATTGCCTCCCTAAATGTAGTAAAATCGTACTTGTATTCAAGTCTGCAGGTGCTGGCTCTTCCTGTGTCTGCCGCTGAAACTGCCTGTTGTCTGCTGACATCATCAAAAGTGGTGGTCCGAGCTATTCACAATGCTTCCCCAAAGGATTGGCTGAGACTGATCAGGGGCAGAGCCAACAAAAGTGAAACACAGCCCTTGCCAATCAGCATCTCCTCAGGTGTATTGAATCAATGCATCTCAATGAGGAGAGTTCAGTGACTGCATGCAGATGGTGGAGACACTGAATGGCAGTACTGCACACTAGGCAGGACTGACCCAGGAAACACCTCTAGCAGCCATCTGAGGAGTGGCCAGTGTAGTTATCACAAGGCTGTAATGTAAACACTGCATTTTCCCTGAAAAGACAGTGCTTACACCAGAACAAATGCAATAAGCTGTAGTTGTTCTGGTGATTATAGTGTCACTTTAATGACTATTGTGACACGTGTGATTCTTATACGTTAAAGAAGTTTTTATTATTCAAGAAGTCTATGCAACCTGATTTTATTTATTGAAATAACCTTGCAAATCTTTGCACCACTCGGAGCATTCTTATTCATGCTTCCCCAACAATTTAATCATAACTTGCCCTTACAGCAAGTTGTGAAAACTCAAGTGAGCAATTATGTAGTATTTATGCATAGGCATATATTTGCTGAAGCCCTACCAGATAATGGGCTGAAGGATATTGAGACTGGTATAAATGGAGAAAAAATTTATTGGGCCAAACTATAGATTGCCAAGTTATTCATGCCTGGATGCTTTCCAGCACAAATTGTTTATTTTTATGTGTAATAATCATATCATCCATTGGACACTATTAAAGGGACCCTAAGGCACTTCAGCTTGGTGAAGTGCTTTATGTGTGAAGTGTGTATCCTCTTTATAAAAAAATTAAAAAGTAAATACAGATGAATTAGTCCTGTTTCACTACCCTCGCTGTAATTATATAACTGCTCTTGTTACTTTTTGCTTGTTTAGCTCAGTGGAGAAAAACTCAAGAGGCAGGTAATTGCCCAAAGCAACTGCCTTGGGAAGTTTTGTCATTGAGCTGAATTGGCAAGTCTGTGATTGGACGACAACAGAAAGCAAGGGCGGGGTAGGAAGGGGAGGACTTGCCGTGTCTTGTAAATGGTTGCAGGTGGAACTCCCTTCCCTGCAGGAGTTACCACTCTAAAATTAATGGCTTAAAGACAGGCTTACCACCATTGTACACAATCCATTGGTGGACTGGTCGTCTTAGAATGACTACACTGTCAGATAGCTGGTTACCTTACATGCTTTCTGCCAAGTTGGGTTCCACTTCCATCTTTGACAACTGGAGAATAAGTGGCATAGTGTACCGTGTTTTTTTTTGCTTTCTGTTGTTTTATTGGAGGGGGACTTTGTTATGTTTCTTCAAGAGTAGTTTAAAAATGCTGGTGCTGTATTAGGTAGCAAACTAAAGAAAAGGACCTCCAAGGTAGTATTCTCTGAGATATTACTTTTTTTTTTTTTTTTTAAGCTGATGCATAATGTTTATTTCTGTCTAAACACATTAATGCACAATTGCAAAAAAAGAAACAAAATTGAAATAAAGAATGTCAAAAAAAAAAAAATGAACAATGAGTTTTACAAGTTTTTTTTTTTGAATTCTTTATTTTTTGAGGCATGTGATTATGGTGGTACAGAAAAAAGAGAGGGAGACTTGCAAGAGTTGTACAGATTAGGGTCATCGTAGCATATTACAGAATTCTCCTAGGATTGTCAACCTCATTTTATATTATATTAACAAGCTTAAACCATAGCTAGATATCAGGTAGGGTATTCGCTAGGCAATGTACATTTTTCATAAAATAGGTACATAGATAAGGCTATGTGCAAGCACTATATTCTGTTTACGCTTTTTACTGGATACACGCTTTAAGTACTTGCACTATTGGTATGTTTAAGTGATAGGAGTAACATGCTTCAACATGGGCAGATAAGCTAGTTTATAAATGTGAGATCGCTTACCAACGAAGCTCCTGGCATAGGCTAGCAGCTAGAAAAGAGCTTAATTAAAATAGCGGTATAACATGCTGTGGTGAGTGTTAGTGACTGAAATCACCATAGATAGATCTGCCCCTATACATGCTACAGTCCACAGAGTGCTGCAGATAGTCGGTAAGTCCGAGGCTGGTATTAGCCCTCCTGATGAGTCCTGGGGGACTATGCATAAGAGTCTCGTGTTGGAGGCAAGTTGCATCTCGGTTAGCGGTGTCTAGTTGTGTGCGGGCGTTGAGGGTAGTCAATGGGCATTGTAGAGTGAGTGGAGCTTCCGTGGGCCCCTCATGCCGACTCTGCCCTCCATCTTCAGCCCCAGCCCCCTCGCCATGTAGCTGGAAGGCAGGATTGTGTGCAGGCTTGTTCGGTAGGGGTGATGCTCAGCAAGGTGGTTCCGTCTGCAGAGAGGCGAGGTTGCGTCATCCATTACAGATCGTGGCGCCGCCATTTTAGTGCCCTGGCTCGTAGCGCGTAACTCCAGGTAGGCATGATGTAGGGCCTTTGTAGGACGGTGTTTCCCTCCGATGGGGACCGGGATAACCCCCCCGGTCCATGGGGGGGGGAAGCGGGGCCTGCGAGGTGCATCGCAAGGCTGCTGCCGGGTGGCCAGGTTCACAAGCAGGACGGCGGCCGTCCGTCCCGCTCTCCACCCTCATAGGCCGCAGGCCCCAAAGTCCCATATCTCCTGCTGGGGGCTCTGGAACTCCCGATCTCAGGGACTGCGGTGGCTCCGGCCTCTGCCTGGGTGCTTAAGACGGCTTCTGGTCACTCGGATTGCTTTATTTTTAAAGTTTTGTGCCATAGGGGACCAAATGTGTCAGGAGCCTCTCTAGCCTGCGACCGGTCAGCATGGCGGTCAGGCCCCGCCCCCCCTGAGATATTACTTTTAATGTAAGCCAAAGGAGCTGATGAGTTTACCAAGGGAGGCAGTGTAGATAGAAGATAAACAGTAGGGGGACCAAAGACAGAACCTTGGGGGATGCCGACAGAGAGTAGTTGGGGGGGGAAAAGGCAGAGTCAGAGAAAGAAACACTGAAAGAGCGCTGGGAGAGGTAGGATGAGCACCAGGTGTCATGTTTCACTGTTTGTAAATGACACAAAACTCTGTAAAGTAATACAATGTGAGCAAGCATTTATCTGAAGAATTTTGTGAAGCTTATCTGGTGTGAGATACCATCTGTAGATGAGTTTCTTATGAGCTTCTATATGGGAGTAGCAAGAAGTTATCCCTTTTAGTGCCAGTAGTGATTTTAGCCATTGCTCATTAGTAAGAGTTAGCAGGGTTTCTTTTTTCCATTGGCTTGTATATTTAAATTCTGGGGCAGGGAATTGTTCGTGCA